CAAATCTCTGCGTAACCCAGTTTCCCCCTGAATTAATGTTGTTTAGCTTTGCTTATATGAGTGGGCGCATTATATCGTGAAAGTGAAACCGAAATCTTGAAATGCGTTTTCGATCACAAAATAGTACTTATGTGATGTTTCAACATTAAATTCTAGTGCAACATAATTCTAACATATTTTGTTTAGTTCCGGATGTTAGGTTTTGAAGGAGCTTCTTTAAAGCTCACTGCAAAATTACACACTATAAGCTATGACTACTGAAGTTGTATGAACTTTTATCATTAGTTTTCGAGGCCCTTATAAATTCAAATGCATTTTATAGAAAAAAATTTTAAAAATTATGGTAATAAGTTGGTAGTAATTTATATTTTTTTAGACCTCATGTTTGAAGAAATTGTATCCTTCGGTAATAAACAATTACAATTAAGATATTTTCTAAAACTATGAAATGTCCATCTATAAAATATTGTACCGGTCCATTTGCGGACGCGGCTTGTAAATCGTACAATGTCGTCCACCTTTACTTTCATTTTGGGCACTCTGACATCTTCACGATAACCTAGAGAAATGCGTTATTTTCTGCAGATGGAATATGCACAGTATGAAGTATGGAAGGCCGGAATGCAAATGCAACAACAGATAGGATTCACAAGCATTTGGAGACAAAGTTATTTTACAAGAAGTCGTTCGTTACGAAATGAGCAAAAGAAGGAATATTTTTGATCATTTTTAAATTATAAATTATATTTGAAATTATAAGGCCTGTAGAAATCAATAACAAATACGAAACGCCTTAATGAGTTATGCCTTACAGCGTACGGCTTTCGCAGGCAGCCTGGAGTTTATTTATTTTTCGCGATTATTTCGAATATTCCTCTGGTTTCCGCGTTAATAAATCATCGAATGCAGCTGTCTGAAATGATACGTTTATGTTTTCCCTTCGGTGATGTTTGGTCCTTAATAAGTTATCTATGAAAATTTGCTCACTTATGAAGGTGGAAGTTCCCATGCCACCTTAATTCTTTAATTGAAAAGCATGTTTTCCTTGTATTTTGTTTTTGTATAGGTCGTTTCTGCACAGACTGAGTAGCTCAAACTTTTCGTGAGCGTCAACAATGGTGAGCCATAACACAATTAAGAAAATGTCGACTGTTCTTTGAGATTTTGTATTGTGTATCAGCGTTTAGAAAACACGTATTTTATATAAATATTTTAGTTTAAGTTTTCTTCTTAGTCGATTCTAAAAGGCGGTTGAAAATTTTACTTTGAGACGAGTAAAGAAATAACTGCTAATTACAGCCTAACTTTTGAGCAGAAATCTTTAACAATCCTCGGGGACGGTCCTTATCCATATTTCCGATTACGAATATACCTTAATTGAGTAATTCATTAGTGTTTCGGGAGACTGACGTCAGCTATTTGTTTTTCCCAAACGTTCGAGTTCGACAGTTTTTGTGTCAATATTTGCTATTTAAATATTCACCGGGTGTCGTAAAGGCAAGTCTATTGGGTACGATTTCGATCTGATTAAATTAGCATCCTGGAAATCCTTCTTAGTTCTACTTTTAAGTCGCATTTTTTGGTTTTCGTCTGCGTAAATTTGCATTCATTCCACGCCTCGTATTGTGTTCGTGTACAAGCTTGGCTTTTCATTAAGCCAGCTTTCATCTGCCAGATTGATCTATCGATCTACCCTGGTTTTTCACACCTCCCACTACCGTTCTCCGCTTGTTCTGATAAGGTGCATGAATAGCTTACACGAAACGATAGGTGGGGACGTGAAGGAAAATGACTGGCGACGCAAGTGGTAGGCTTGGTTTGGGTCACCGAAAATGAAACTAAGACGTGACACGAAACATCGGTTAGAAATGTTTCGCTCTACAGGTAAACCGCTTTCGTTCCAGAGAAATACTCCGCAATTTTAATTTTGTATTTAAGCGTCCTCAAGCTGAAACAAACTCAGGCTCACAATAATAATAAGGGCTTTAAAAATGCAGTAGTCTGTACTAATCGAATGGCGTATATATACGATAGAGCAAGAGGTAATGTATGCAGTTGCATGGAAAACTATGATAAAACATCATCAATAGTATAGATGACATAAAAATAGACACTTTTCATGTCAAGGAGTGATTGCGGGTTAAATTTTATGTGTCTGCAACAAGTGCATCTTAAAAATATGTCTGTCTCGGAAATCTGGCCCCCCTGATGTAAAGTTGGAAAAAAACGTTTCAAAACTCACAAAACAGAACATTTGCAAATGTGCTAGTTTTGTATAACGAAACCGCCATTGTTGATTTAGCATTCTTCCATGGGTATTCTTATGTTTCAATGTAGGAAACTGATACTTAATCAAATGAAAATAAAGATGATCCTTTGAGTTGGGATACAAGTGGCATATCTGCCAGTTGCATCACATCGCCATTATGCATAAACCTGACCCTAATTCGAACTTTGGCCCTAAACTTGACCTCTTGGAACTAACTTCAATGTCAGCTGTATTACGGGCGATGAATGTCCCCGTAACCACTAGGCGATATTGTTTTTCCTAAGAGTAATAAAACACCCTCTATATTAGGTTATCCCCTTTAAAGGGTACTTTAATTAGATATTCAGCCGATTAATATCTTTGCATGTTACCTTTTTCCAATGTAATGTCGAAATTTAAAATGGAGAATTTTGACAAGTTCTCCAATTACATAAT